ATGTGCAAATTGGCTACAGGTTCAGTCTGTCTTATCAGGAGATAAGATGTGGACATACAGTCATGGCCGAAATTGTTGGCACCCTTGATTTTCAAGGAAATCATGTATTTTCTCACGAAACGTATTGCATTAACACATGTTTTGCTATACACATGTTTATTCCCTTTGTGTGTATTGGGACAAAACAAAAAAAAGGGAGGAAAGAAAGCAAATTCGACATAATGTCACACAAACCTCCAAAAATGGGCTGGACAAAAAGTATTGGCACCCTTTCAGCGGATAAATAAGAATGTTACAAGCATGTGATGCTCCTGTAAAACTCACCTGGGGCAAGTAACAGGTGTGGGCAATATAGAAATCACACCTGAAAGCAGATAAAAAGGAACGTTCACTTAACCTTTGTTGTGTGTCTGTCTGTGCCACACTAAGCATGGACAACAGAAAGAGGAGACGAGAAACTGTCTGAGGACCTGAAACCAAAATTGTGGCAAAATATCAACAATCTCAAGGTTACAAGTCCATCTCCAGAGAACTAGATTTGCCTTTGTCCACAGTGCGCAACATTATCAAGAAGTTTGCAACCCATGGCACTGTAGCTAATCTCCCTGGTCGTGGTCGTACGGATGAGGAAAATTGATGAAAGATTGCAACGCAGAAAGTCCGGATGGTGGACAGCCCCAAACATGTTCAAAGACATTCAATGTCTGCAGGTCAGGGAGCATCAGTGTCAGCGCGAACTATCCGTCGACATTTTAAATGAAATGAAACGTATGGCAGGAGACCCAGGAGGACCCCACTGCTGAACAGAGACATAAAAAAAGCAAGAACAGTTTGCCAAAATGTACTTGAGTTTCCTTCATCAAACGTTTGTGGACAGATGAGGCCAAGATCTTTTCGGTAAAGACATCATTCTACTGTTTACCGAAAACGGAATGTTCTACAAAGAACAAAACACAGTACCTACGGTAAAATATGGTGGAGGGTTCAATGATGTTTTGGGGTTGTTTTGCTGCCTCTGGCACTGGGTGCCTTGAGTGCAAGGCATCATGAAATCTGAGGATTACAAAAGGATTTTGGGTCGCACTGTAGGGCCCCAGTGTCAGAAAGCTGGGTTTGCGTCCAAGAATCCTGGGTCTTCCAGCAGGGACAATGACCCCAAACATACGTCAAAAAGCACTCAGAAATGGATGGCAAAGAAGCGCTGGAGAGTTCTGAAGTGGCCAGCAATGAGCCCAGATCTAAATCCCATTGAACACCTGTGGAGAGATCTTAAAATTGCTGTTGGGAAAAGGTGTCCTTCCCAATAAGACAGGAGCTGTTTGCATTGGTCCCAATTCCGGGTGTGTCAGAAGCTTATTGATGGTTATAGGAAGCGACTGATTTCACATTATGCACTTTTCCAAAGGGTGTGCAACCAAATTAAGTTAAGGGTGCCAAACTTTTGTCCAGCCCATTTTTGGGGTTTTGTGTGACACTATGTCATATTTGCTTTTCTGCCTCTGTTTTATATTTGTTCCAATACATACAAAGGGAATAAACATGTGTATAGCAAAACATGTGTGTAATGCAATACCTTTTTTGTGTGAAATACTTGATTTTCAGGAAAAAAATATCAAGGTGCCAACAATTTCGGCCATGACTGAACAAGAGGAGGAACAGAGAAGAGAAGCATGCTTTACTGCATATACAGACTGATTTTACTGTTGTGGGCTTAGTAACACTTTAAGGTAGCTCATGACTTATCAAATGTGCAATTTGATTTTGTGATGTGTCCTTTTATATACAGTAAGGACTAGGTCATGTTTCTGTTACAGAGCTGGGTTAAGTTATTTTCAAATGAAAAGTTTCCTTTTTAAATGTATACATTTTTTAACATGGAACTAAAAAAATTGCCTTTTTTTTCTATATAGTGTATGTATCAATCTATGTTTGTCCCAGGTATGATTAACTCCACTTACTGTCATAATAAGTATGGTAAAACAGAACCAAATTGTCATTACCATTATAATAATCAAAATAAGTTCCTCCATCCGGGGACTAAGCTCATGACCTATCAGAGGTGTAATTTGAATTTGTGATGTTTCCCTTTTATATAGGAACTAAATCATGTTTCTGTTACAAAGCTTGGTTCATTTATTTTTGAATTTTCGTTTTTAAATTTACGCATCTTTTAATCTGGCACTACAAAAACAAATCAGCAAAATGGACAAAAACAAAGTTTGCATACAAACAGGAAATAAAACCAACAAAAAACTTCTGATGAAGGAAGGGTTGGAAAGAGTAGATAATAACAAACTAAGGTTAACTAATGGTTGATAAGGGTGTTAAAAAGGACTTTTTTTCACTTAACTGCTAATAAAATTTACTTACAGAAATACAGTGAAATAAATAAGTATTTGATCCTCTGCTGATTTTGAATGTTTGCCCACTCACAAAGAAATGATCAGTCTAAAAATCGAAACGGTAGGTGTATTGTAACACTGAGAGACAGAATAGAACAAAAAATTCAATTTGCATGTTCATGAGAGAACTAAGTATTTGATCCCCTATCATTCAGCAGGATTTCTGGCTACCAGGTGTCTGTCATACAGGTAACAAGCTGAGATTAGAAGCAGTCTCTTAAAGGGAGTGCTGCCAATCTCATTGTGTTACCTGTATAAAAGACACCTGTCCACAGGAGCAATCAAACAATCAGATTCCAAACTCTCCACCATGGCAAAGACCAAAGAGCTGTCCAAGGATGTCAGGGACAAGATTTTAGACCTACACAAGGCTGGACTGGGCTACCAAACTATCGCCAAGCAGCTTGGTGAGAAGGTGACAACAGTTGGTGCAAATGGAAGAAACACAAAACAACTGTCAGTTTCCCTAGGTCTGGTGCACCATGCAAGATCTCACCTTGTGGAGTGTCAATAACCATGAGAACAGTGAGGAATCATCCCAGAACTACACGTGAGGATCTCGTCAATGATCTCCAGGTAGCTGGAACCACAGTCACCAAGAAAACAATTGGTAACACGCTACACAGACAAGGATTGAAATCCTGCATTGCCCGCAAGGTCCCTCTGCTCAAGAAAGCACATGTCCATTCCTGTCTGAAGCAGGGGTGAACTGACCATTTGGAAACTCAGCCACTGCCCGAGGGCCCGGGGTCAGTAGGGGGCCCCATGAGATGCCCCTGGTACCTTTTTCATAGGCTTTTTTGAGTTTGGGCAAGGACACAGGGGCCCCATGATCCCCTATTGCCCCATGAGTTGTCAGTCCGCCCCTGGTCTGAAGTTTGCCACTGAATATCTGAATGATGCAGAGGAGGACTGGTTGAAAGTGTTGTTGTCAGATGAGACCAAAATCAAGCTCTTTGGCATCAACTCAACTCGCCGTGTTTGGAGGAGGAGGAATGCTGCCTATGACCCCAAGAACACCACCCCAACTGTCAAACATGGTGGTGGAAATATTCTGCTTTGGGGGTGTTTTTCTGCTAAGAGGACAGGACAACTGCACCGCATCAAAGGGACAATGGATGGGGCAATGAACCAATTGTCAAACCAAGAAGTCAAATCTTGGGTGAGAACCTTCTTCCCTCAGCCAGGGCATTGAAAACGGGTTGTGGATAGGTGTTCCAGCATGACAATGACCCATAACTCACAGCCAAGGCAACAAAGGAGTGGCTCAAGAAGAAGAACATTAGGTCCTGGAGTGGCCTAGCCAGTCTCTAGCTCTTAATCCAATTGAAAATCTGTGGAGGGAGCTGAAAGTTCAAATTACCAAACGTCAGCCACCAAACCATAATGACTTGGAGAGGATCTGCCAAGAGGAGTGGGCCATAATCCCTCCTGAAATATGTGCAAACCTGGTGGCCAACTACAGGAAACGTCTGACCTCTGTGATATATATATATATTATATATATATATAATCTATTCTTATCCCAAGCATGACTGAATCCATTTACTGTTGACTTACTCATTACCTCTGTCTATTCCAAACATTGATTACTGTTTTGGAAAAATAATACTTTCTAATAATTACAATTATTTTTCGCAAGCTATGTATGCCTGAAGCCTGAAACCAGCGTTGAAAGTCAAAACACACTGTAACAATATTGTTATAATGTATTTATGAAAGAAGCCTGCATTGAAAGCAATTGGTAGAAATTGCCACACAAGTATATTGCAAGCATTACAGAAAACTGAACATGGATCATTGTTTAAACATTGGTTCTTATTGGTTTTTTCAGTCACTTGTTTAGTGCACACATGATAAAGCTTGCTATCATATGTAGGTCTCTATATTCTTACCTTTCTTGGAAAAAGAACATCTCACCTATATCCGTAGGCTTATAACACAAAGAAGATATTGTTAAGTATTATCCTTTTTGTTATATTCACTGAACCATGAAGCTATCTAGCTTAGCAGTACTATAAGCATGTATTCTGTTCCTTTCTAACAACTTTCAATCATTCCTTTCCATGAAAATGCTTTCTCCTGTGTGTAGTAGTCGCACTCTGCAGTTTACTGTAATGAAATTGTCAAATGCACAGTGAAAAATAAAACAATTTGCTTTGAAGTCAGGTGTAAAGAGAATAGGGTTGTATCTGTAAAAAGAGAAAATTGGACAGAGTAAACATTGACACCTAACTATATAATACAAGGTTATATATCTAAGAATGTTTTTTAATTAAAAGTATCTATACTAAAAGTGAAACATTAATTCCCAATTTGTTTTAGAATTCTCTAATTACTAGTAGAGAGATGTGAGAGCTCACCATTTCATTGAGCTTTATTTAAGAAGGCCACTTATCAGTCGAAAAATGAACAATCAGTTGAACGAAAACAAAAAGTGTTAGATTTTTTTCATACAATTATGCCATCGTTGTATCGGAAATTGCCCTGGAAAACTACATTTTTTCCCTTTATTTGCCAGAAGTGATGCAATGTAGTTTGACCTTACAGATATTCTCCTCCTACTGTACACTCCCTCCCAGGGGCGGACTGACAACTCATGGGGCCTCCGGGCAATAGGGGATCATGGGGCCCCTGTGTCCTTGCCCAAACTAAAAAAAGCCTATGAAAAAGGTACCAGGGGCATCTCATGGGGCCCCCTACTGACCCCGGACCCTCGGGCAGTGCCCGAGTTTCCAAATGGTCAGTCCGCCCCTGCTCCCTCCTTATGCTCCCACTTAATGTTAAAATTGTGGCACACAAACGACAAAATTATTCTTTCACACAGCACATGACAATGGACTTCAAGAGATACAGCAAAAAGAAGAAAGTTGCAGTCAGGATGCTTGGCATTATAACAATTGAGGAGGACACGTGGAAAAAAATGTGAAGAAAAAACAGTGTTTGGCCTTGTCCAACCGCATATTACCAAACAAGATTAAATTATGTGAAAAGCTATCACAGAAGAGAGGTTGATAGCAATTTTACATTTTCTGGCAACAGGCAGATCTTATGAAGACCTAAAATTCTCAACGGGGATATCAGCACAGTCATTGGGAAAAAAAAAATCTAAGGGAAATGCTTAAAACACACAGAGTAGCAGGATTCTGTGACACATGCAGGGTTTTAATATGGCCAACATAGTAGTGCTCAGTTATGTAGTGGTCAGTGGTGCCCCCTCATTAGGAATATCACCTGACAGTGTCTGTATTTAAACACTATGGTCACCGGTGGGCGTTAACCCTGATGAAGTCACGAGGCACTTGACGCACCGCGTCACTACGTCATTTCCGGTACGAGTTGATGCATTTCCCGTTACAGCAGACATCTTGCTCTACCCAGTTACCATACAGTACACCCATAGGATGTGGTGACAGGCATTTTTTGCTGGGAATACATGTGAGTGCAACTAGTAGTTTTATTTGTGTTCTACTAATAAAATACTGCACTATGGAAGGATCTTTGTTTTGTATCCTATGCATACTTTCTTGAGTGGAGGTGGAGTGGATAAGGTGCGCTTGAGAGAAATCTTTATCACATTCCATGGTCCCTTTGGTGAGGAGCGGAATTGAGAGAACCTGATATTGTGAATTATAGCCTTTTGGCCCTATGTGGGTCAGGGTGTGGAGATGAGCAGGCATTGCTGCCATTAGAGGATCCTTTTCTCTTTTTCACTAGAGTAAAGATCACGTGGGCACAATTACACTTGCATGGACTTTATGCTTTGATATTTCACAGATTTTTGCTGCATCAGTTATTGTTATTTATTATTTATGAGTGTGTGGCTATACACATAACACGTGATGTTATCCTTATTATTTTGAATAATCACCATCACCATTTAGATGTTCATTTTATTTAATGATTGTTCACTTTGCATTGTTCAAAAATTAATTTAATTTGGATTTTCCACTGAGCACTACTATGTTGGCAATATTAATTTAGTATGCACCAGCGGTAGATTAGATTGTTATAGCGCTTCACTATTCACACATATTTTGAGTATACACTTATTGGTCCAAGTTGAGTGGCAGCAGCTATAATTAGATATATTATCATCCATTAAAGCGCAGGAGGATATCTACATTCATTCACATGCAGGGTTTTGATTTTGTTACAGGCACAGAATTTATAAAACATCCATAATTCCCAGCTGTTCATCATTTGACGCAATTTCTTTTCTGTGAACTAAACCTTTCATCCAACTAATCAATTATTATTTATTTTGAAAAAAACAGAATAAAGGAAAAGTAATGGTAAATAATAACACTTTTGGGTTTAACCAATCAATTTTGTATATTAGTTCTCCATGCTCGAAGAATGTATTTTGTGTAATTCCACATATAACAATGGTATGTGTGAGCAATATATCATTTAAGTGATAGGAAAAAATTTGGAGGGTCATTTTCCAAAAATTTGTGGCCAAAAATAAAATCTTCCATGTACTCAACATGCCTCTCAGAAAACAGGGGGGAGGGGGGTGTTGTGCTATCGTGGCATTTTATGCCCAACATTAGAAGCTCATGTCACACCCACTCTTCTAACCACTTGAAAACCAAGCCTTTTCTCGCACTTTTTGTTTACATGATAAAAATCTGAATATTTTGCTAGAAAATTACTTTGAACCTTCCAAACATTATATATTTTTTTAAAGCAGAGGCCCTAGAAAATAAAATGATAGGTGTTGCAATTTATTTATGTCACAAAGCATTTGTGCAATGAATTTTCAAATGCAAAAAAAAACTCACAATATATTGCCCAATTGTTTGGTAAAATATAAAAGATGAAGTTACACTGAGTAAATAGATACCAAAATAACATGCTTTAAAATTGTGCACGCCTGTGCAACGGTAACAAACTACATACCGTATTTTTTGCTCCATAAGACGCACTTTTTTCCCCTCAAAAAAGGGGGGAAAATGTCAGTGCGTCTTATGGAGCGAATATGGAGCGGCTGGTCCGGTATTTCCACCGCCGCCGCCGTGTCAGAATACCGGGCCGGCCGCTCAGCTCTGCAGCAGGACCTTACCTGTTCCTCGTTCCATCGCTGCGCAGTCTTCCCGCGCCGGCTTCTTTAGTGTGGGCTCTTGGCTTGACAGCCGGGTGCCCAGTGCGCATGCACGAGCAGCGTTGCACTTTGTGAATGGTACGGCGTCTTCTTGGACACATGACAGGTCCCAGAAAACGGCGGACCAATCACAAAGCGCAGCACTTCTCGTGCATGCGCACTGGGCACCAGGCTGTCAGCTGGGTGCCCACACTAAAGGGAGGACAACTCCGCGGAAGTGGGAGCGGGTACCTGTCAAATTCAGGTACCCGCTCCCCCTCCCTCCCCAAAGGTCAGCAGTCATCTCCTGTACTGTCCGCAGTCTCTGGTCATCCCCTGCACTGTCCGCAGTCTCTAGTCATCCCCTGCACTGTCCGCAGTCTCTGGTCATCCCCTGCACTGTCTGCAGTCTCTTGGTCATCCCCTGTACTGTGTCCGCAGTCTCTGGTCATCCCCCGCACTGTCCGCAGTCTCTGGTCATCCCCCGCACTGTCCGCAGTCTCTGGTCATCCCCCGCACTGTCCGCAGTCTCTGGTCATCCCCTGCACTGTCCGCAGTCTCTGGTCATCCCCTGCACTGTCCGCAGTCTCTGGTCATCCCCTGCACTGTCCACAGTCTCTTGGTCATCCCCTGCACTGTCCGCAGTCTCTGGTCATCTCCTGCACTGTCCGCAGTCTCTTGGTCATCCCCTGCACTGTCCGTAGTCTCTTGGTCATCCCCTGCACTGTCCGCAGTCTCTGGTCATCCCCTGCACTGTCCGCAGTCTCTGGTCATCCCCTGCACTGTCCGCAGTCTCTGGTCATCTCTTGTACTGTCCGCAGTCTCTGGTCATCCCCTGTACTATGTCCGCAGTGTCTTGGTTATCCCCTATACTGTCCACAGTGTCTTGGTCATCCCCTATACTGTCCGCAGTCTCTGGTCATCTCCTGTACAGTCCGCAGTCTCTGGTCATTTCCTGTACTGTGTCCGCAGTCTCTGGTCATCTCCTGTACTGTGTCTGCAGTCTCTGGTCATCTCCTGTACTATGTCTGCAGTCTCTGGTCATCTCCTGTACTGTGTCTGCAGTCCATTGGTTCAGAATATTTTTTATCTTGTTTTCTGCCTCTAAAACCTAGGTACGTCTTATGGTCAGGTGCGTCTTATGGAGCGAAAAATACAGTATATTTTTAATATCCATAGGTGATGCTTTAAAAGCCTTTACAGGTTACCAATTTAGATCTACACAGGAGGTCTAGTGCTAGAGTTACTGTCCTTTGACATTGGCGGTGATACCTCACTTACATTGTACAATCGCTGTTTACATACTGACACAACCAATTTTATTGTCATCACAGGGAATGTAAATATGCCCTGTGATAGCAATAGGCAGTGAAAGGTACCCTTTTCTGAGAAATCTGGGGTCTATTAGACTCTAGGTCTCTACTCTACCCTTAAAGCAGGTTTGACAAACTGGCATCCCACCAGCTGTTGCGAAACTACAAGTCCCATAATGCCTCTGCCTTTGGGAGTCATGCTTGTAACTGTCAATCTTGCAATGCCTCATGGGACTTGTAGTTTGGCGACAGCTGCAGGGCCACCAGTTTGACACCTGTGCCTTAAAGCATCTGATTACACTAAGATCAGTGTGATCAGATGCTTTCCCAATTGAAAAATGGGGGTTTGTATCCGGCAAAACCAAGTTATGAAATGTTCATAGCTTCTGGTCTCTTAGACTATAGAGATGATTGGAGCCATTCCGGTCTCCGATCAGCTCTATGGTCAGTCGTCAGAACTGCTGGCTACATTCTGGGGTTTCCCGATGGGACAGGAGAGCCTGAGAAAGCCATGGAAGACAGCGGGAAGGGGGGGGGGGCGCACCCTCCCGCTGCTTCTGAAAGCAATCCAAAGGCTTATTAGCTGCTAGGATTGCTTTTACATTAACCCCTTGATGCCTACGTCACACAAATTTGCGGCCTCACAGAACTGGGCTTTTTTCCATGGGGCTGCATATTTCTGCATCTGCCTTTGTGCTAGGAGAGCACCACACAGCGTGCTCCCAGCGCAAAGACAAGGGTGTCACTGAGAGCCCCAGGTCCCGTTCTAACAATCGGGACCTGGGAATCCCGATTCCGGGTCACATGATCACTGTGTTAGCCTCTGATTGGCTATCACAGTGATCAGTCACTGTTTTTTTTCTCTCTGAATTCTCTCTCTCTCTGTCTTTCTCTCCTTGCATAGAGAAAAAAAAACTGCTGAAAAAATAAATAAATAAATACATTTAAAAAAATAAAATAAAAATAAAGAAAAAATATCTAGATCAAGGTTTGATCTAGTTCAGTGCCAGGGTTAGTGTTTGGGTCAAGGTTAGGGTCAAATGTCAAGTTTACAGGTCAGGGTCAAAGGCCAGGATTTTTTTTTTTTAAATTGACATCAGTGTTAGTGTGTTTTAGATAAAAAAAAAAAGTGCACTATTGTTTCTGGGCTGTAGTACAGGTACAAACAACAAATATGGTATCGCTGTGATCGTCAAGAGCTGGAAATTTTATTTTGGGTTGTTCTTTGGTGTTAGGTTGTGGTAGTAACAAGAAACACACAGGTAAATAAAAAAATGGATTTTTTTTTACTATTTTGGGCCAGTTTTCTTTTGATAAAAAAAAATTAAGGTGATATCCATTACCATTTACCACCCACCAAATGAAAGCCCAATTTGTCTTGGGAAAAATAAGGTATAATTCACCTGGATGTACAAAGTAGTTGTGATGATATGTATGGTTTTACTAACATATGTCAAAGTTGTAAAATTTTACTTAGGCTTTAAGATTTTTTTACCTAGGAGTGAAGAGATTAAAGCCGACCACCGGCTGAAAATAACAATATCAGGATGA